CTGAATTTGATTTTGTCTCTAGTATCTTGGATTTGGGGTTTCTACTTAGTCTGCCTGATCCTGAAACTTTGCCTCTCAGCTCTTCTGAAAGGACTATGGCAGACGTCACTTATCATCACTCGGCATCTCTCCTACCCTTCCTCTACAGCAACACATTCCTCCATTTTCAGCTGGGCCCACCCGTCGACACCCAGTGTTTAGATAATGGTTTCTAGTCCTCACTGCAGGTAGCAGTGGCCACATACCTAAGTTCTGACATTAGCTTTACCAGACACGTTTACCTCTGTTATACCAGATGCATCTGTATCCTAATTATTAGAACTTTAGCTCAAACTCATTAATTTATTGGATTGTCAGAAAAGTCATGACATATTTTTGCTTTTCTGTGCAAAAATGCATCATACCTTTTCCAACTACCTAGTAGGTCCCTTGCTGCATATCACTTGGGTAGGATAGTCTGCCTGGGTGAAGCCCCTGGGAACTAATTTCTGGAAGTAGTGACTGGTAGCCACAGCATTTGTCCCCTTTCCATAGTGCCACCCTGCCAGGAGAGAGAGGAGAGACTTGCCACCATTTTTCCCTCCTGCTCCTCTATGTAGTAAAAGTTCACTCATTACTTCAGCAGCCCTCTTCTGGTATGTATCTCCCTCATATCCAACTCTTTTTCTCTCTTTTTAAAAAAAGACATTTAATTTTACTTATTATTATTATTATTATTATTTAATTTGATCAGAAAGAGACCGAGAGAAAGAGAGAAAGCAAGCTACCAAGTCCAGGACTCAAACCACAGTTGGCCATGTGGGAGCCCAGCACCTGAACCACCACACCACTGGATAGCCCCATGCCTAACTCTTTACTACACCCGATATTCTTACTTGACACATGAAACCTCGCCCCTAATCTTGCCTCTTTGCAGAGATGCTCAGTACCTTATTCATGAAGGTGTTGTGAGGGTTAAATGAGTATTAAATACTTACAAACTGTTGAAACTTCCTGGGTCTTAGTATGCCCTGAAACAGTTGTAGTTGTTAAATGTCAGGCCCACCTTTCTTCTTCACGTCTCCCAAGGCCAGCACAGCCCTGTAGAGTTTTCACTGGTAGCAGTGTTTGGATATGCATTACCCTCATGGGTACTGACATTTCATGCTTCCTTAAAGAGAACATCATTGCTTATATTATTGTACACTGGCCCACCTGAGTATAGTAAAAATTGGAAATAACCTACTTTGAAGGTCAGAAATTGAAGACTTGTGACTTGAGAGGGCCAGCAGCAGTGGGAGAGTAGTGATGGCGATATTCTGTGATGCTGAACCCATATGGGAAGGTCCCGGGGTTCATGTACAGAGATCTCCTTGTATATGCTGGGTGAGTGGGCATGCGCTTCTGATTTGTGCTGGCTACGCCAGGGTGGATCACAGTGTGTAGACCCCATTTCTGTTGGAGGTGATTGTCTCTTGCTCTTTCTTTCCTTGAATGGAGTAATTAAGTTCAAAACAAACAGGAACCAGCAGATGACGTAATGGTTGTCAGTGGACCTGCACGTAGTCGACTATGGTTTGAGTTCCACATCTGGCAGCTTAAAAGTCATTACTGGCATGTGTGCGTGTGTGTTCAAAATCCCAAGAAGAGACCAGAGGAGAAGGGATTGCAGCTGGGGGTGGGGTTGGGGAGGGATGATTTCTCGCTTTCTGTCTCTCTGTTTCTCGCTCTGTCTGGCAAGTGCATGCACCCTATAGCAAGAATCTCTCTAAAAACATTAATAAAAAATAATAAAAACAAAGATTCTCAACTCAGGAAAATTACAAACTTACATAGAACCTTTTATCATTTATTTCTGTTTGCATTTTTAAATGATATCAAGAATTATCTTAAGATGGGTGACATTTGTTTATGTGTTATAATATCTCTAGTTAACTGATATTTGGGCTGTTTTTTAATTGGTGAACATGATATTGGTTATAATAATAATAAATACTTAGACTTTAGTGCATGCCAAGAATATAAGAGTTTTGCTTGTATATTTTGTTTAAGTTACATAATAACTCTTTGAAATACAGGTATTTAAAACACAGATAAGCAAACTGAATCTGGAAAATGTTAAATGATTTACCAACCATTGTAAATATGACCATTTATACAGGCAGGACTAGAATCCAGGTCTGCTTTGACTCTTACCCAATTTCACCACAAGTACCAACTTGTATAATTTCTGTGTGTGTGTGTGTGTGTGTGTGTGTGTGTGTGTGTATAATCTCATCACCTTGGGAATTTGCAGAGTTTAGTTCTTGGATTGCTTTCTATTTAAGCCTCTTATTAATTTCGAAGTCAATTTTATCTTAGTTTCTCATTAACTTATTCATTTACTAGTTTTGTACAAATCAGTAATAACAGCTTACTAAGGACTATTATTTATATATTCAACTTTATTTTCAGTTAATTCCACAGATTACTGATTTTTAAGCTCTAGACCCAGCAAAGCCAGACTTCAGTGACCAGTTTTAGAGAAAAGACCTCCAACCTGAACAGGGACCAGCAATGAGAAACACACGTCCTAGTTGGTTCCCTTTGCAGGCGGACATGTTTGCTTTACTTAGGGGTCATCCTCTATATCAGCCCCTCGGTTTCATAGGTCCCAAAGTCTAATCCTCCATCCCTCCAGTGTCCGGTAAGGTTCTCTGTACTAGCTTTGTCCTCAAACCACCACCTGCTTTCTGTTCACATTTCACTGAATTGCAACTTCAGCTTACTCTTTGCTTTTCTTTTTGGCCTTTGGGGGTTTCCTATACTTTCTTGTGAACTCATTATTACATTAAAAGTACATTTTGGAGGCAATGTAGAGCAACCGGAAGTCAGGTATACTCCTTGTGAGAGAGAACATTGGTGTATTCACTGAAGAAAACTCTGCAGCATATACAACATTCAACAGATGCATGCCTGCATCCCAGCAGTCCAACTGTAGTATACCCAACATGTGTCCATCATGGGATGGGTAATAGGATGTTTGCAGTAAATCCCAAATGTCTTTTGAGCAGACAATGGATAAATTATGGTATATTGATGTAATATAATACTATACAGTAATAATTTTTTTAAAAAGATGAAATATGACTACTGCCAACATATGGATGAATCTTAAGGGCATTATGTTGAGTAAAATAAGCCAAATATAAAAGTGTGCCTGAGGTATGATTCCATGTATATAGAGTTCAAAGATAGGCTAAACTAATCTCTAGTCTTAGAAATTGGAATAGTAGTTACCTCTCGGGGGAGACCGGAAGGGTGTGGTTGAGTTTTCAAAGGGTTCCTTTCACAAGGATGTCTGCTTTGTGATAATGCTTCAAGTTGTGTGTTATTTGCATGCTTCTCTGTGGTTAATATACTCCAATAAAATATTTTACCAAATAGAAGGGTGTACTACAAGATTAGAGAAGGCATTTCAGACCGCTTGGTTTATTATGTTGTCAAAAGTTCAAGTCAGGGGAACCAGCAGTTAACATAATGGCTATGTCGCTGGATTCCCACGTAGTCGACCACGGTTCACGTCCCGGACCCGGTGGCTTAAAACTCACGCTGGGCGCGTGTGCACGCGTGCCCAAGATCCTGAGAGGAGAATGGAGGAGGAGGAGGGATTGTGGCGTGACCATCCCCCCCTGGGGGGTGATTTCTCGCTTTCTGTCTCTAATGTCTCTATCTGTCTGGCGAGCGCACACGCCCTATAGCGAAAATCTCTCTCTCAAAAAAAAAAAAAAGTTCAAGTCAGCTGTGATGTGTGTGTGTGTGTGTGTGTGTGTGTGTGGGTGGGTGAGTGGGTGTGTGTGCATGCTTATATGTAGGGAAGTGATGGGAAGGACAGTGCTTGTTTTGGTTGATAATTCATTTTCATGATTTCTGATCTATTCAGTTGTCTGCTCATTCTTGTGGGAAACCAATAAACAGTAACAAAACTGCTATAGGGCGTGTGTGCTCACTAGGAAGACAGAGAGACACAGAGAGACAGAAAGCGAGAAATCACCCCTCAGGGGAGATGTTCACGCTGCAATCCCTTCTCCTCCATTCTCCTCTCAGGATCTTGGGCACGCACTCACATCGCCTGGCGTGAGTTTAAGCCACCAGGTCCAGGTCTCAAACTGTAGTCGACTACATGAGAGTCCAGCGACATAGCCATTACGCTAACTGCTGGTCCCACAAATAACAAAATTGTAGAAGCTGGTATAACTGAGTTCTTTGAAAATACCCTGATGTGATATCGCACCATGCAGGTATTTATTAAAAACATGTATGTGTTGTCTTTTATGTTCCATTTGAAAAATATGGAGTACTAAGGTTCTTTAGCTTATAGTCGCTAATATTTTTGATAGATATTTCCTTAAGGAACACAAAAGAAAAATCTGGAAAAAAAAGTAATATAACTTCAATATCTATTGAGAATGTTTTCCTACTATATGATGATAGTCACAGGTTTCCATTTTTAAAAGATAAGGTAGTATAAGATCTGAAATACACATGTGTGTATGAAGACACTGGGACAGAGTCCATAAACCTTAAAACTAATAGCCTGATCTTAAAGTACAAGGAAAGCATTTCACAGTCTAGAAGACAGCAAGGGGCATCCAGTCGTAGCAGCAGTCTTCCTGCTTTATGTCTCCAAATTACCACAAAAGGATGCTGTCTGATGAGGTCCATTGTGTTCTTCATTTCACTCTGCAAACTGAGTGACTAGTAAGCTTTTTTTTTTTCTCTCGAAACCCAAGAGATTTTTCTGTGGAGCCATGTTATAATCCTGTGATTCGCATCTAAATGAAGCACTCTTGGCTTTGTATTCCTCAGCATTGTCGAGATTAATCTAAGATTAATCTATTTATCTGGGTTGTTGGAATTGAAATAAGATTTCTAGCTGTGAATTCTTGATTGCCTTGCTGCAGGCAACTGGCTTTTCCCTTGGGTTTTGCACTCAGTTAATTCATTTGGACTCGGAGGTAATAGAGCTCTTGTCTTTACAGAACTGCCTAGAAATCTTGTGTAGGCATGGAGGGCTCGAGCCGGAGAGAAGAGACAAGTGCAACAGGACTGTGCATGATGTCGCCACTGACGACTGCAAGCATTTGCTGGAGAACCTGCGTGAGTGATGTTTGGAGCTGGTCGTTCATCCTTTCTTTATGCTGCTGGGGTCTCTGGCATGATGGGAAAAATAATAATGACACTACAGTTTTCTTATCTTCTCTTTAGCCTATGCTGAGACCTAGCTATTACAAAAACAAAACAAAACAAAACAAAACACACACTTTACTGATCATAAGTGTGGTAATTCATTCATTTCCCACGAATATTGGGTTGTCAGGAAAGTCATGACGCATAGAGAAATAGAGATATTTTGTAGTACAAAGTGCTATTCAGATAATGCTGGGTCTGTACTTTACTGACCTGAGAACAGTCTACGTGATTATTGCCGTTGTCTTCTGACTTAGACCGTCTTTCTAGACATTAGGCTGCCAAGGTATGAGAAATGCAGCTGCACTCTTCATCAGCTGCTCATGTGAACCGGGCAAGTGGGTTGTTTCCCAGCACCTGGCTACCTACCTAGCTCTGAAGATAACTGATGGTTTCTTGGATCTCTTCCAGCTCTGAGTATATGCTTCTCGGCAGATTTTATGAATAGTGCACTTGTGGGTTTATGAATATCAGATACTAGAGCATAAAAATATGACCTTATATCAAGATTATATATCACGCAATCCATCTCATAGCCAGCTGTGTCAATAGTTCAGCCTTAGTAGAAAGAGAATTTTTAAAATTGAAATCATGTTTTAATTTTCAATATTCAGTCTTTGATGTAATATATAGATTTGTATTCTTTATCTCTTAAAGAAACTTCAATTTCATAAGGAAGAATATATGCAACTTATAAAGATACTTCAATAGAGAGGTAAAAGAAAATCTTAGAAATTCCCTAAATCTGTGTTTTACAGTTGAAAAAGGCTTTCTTTATAATTAAAATACAGCTTTTAGAGCCTTAAACTTCTGAATTGTCTTCCATTACCTGAAGCATGACTTATATAGGATTTCTCTAAGATATAAGATATGATTAATACCTCTCTTATCACCTTACACCTTTTTTTTTTTTTTTGGAGGGTTTTTTGCTTTCGGTTGCATACCG